CTCTTCATTTCACATTATTTGCTTTTTTTCATTGCCAAAATAAATATAAATCGTCAATCAATATACTAGAAAATTTTATACTTATTGCATTGTTATTATCTAATTATTTTATATGAATATTTATATTATAAAAGTAATTTAATTAAATGAAATAATATAAAAATCTAAAAGATTATTACTAACGAAATAAGAAATAATATGACAAAAGATAATAATAAAAGATTAGCATATATTCAATAATTTGAAGAAAAAGAATAGAGTTATTTGTAATTATTCTTTTTCTATTTTGGATATTAAATTAAAGATATTAATGAAACATCAACAAATTCAGTACCAAAAAATATGATGATATAATTGTATTACAATTTAGATGAACAAACAAATTAATAAATATCCATAATATTGATTCTTTTGAAATAATTATTTTTAAGAATCATAATAATTATATAATAAAATTTGATTTTAAAACCATTATATTAATTTAGTAATAACATATTAATAATTTACGCATGATTAACAACTTGAATATTTTCAAATGTATGTACTTTATAATTTTCTGTATTATTTTAAAAATAATTATAAGCAATTGATTTATTATTACTTTTTTTCATTTATTAAAGTATTAAGAATAAACCACTCATCATTTATTATAACACTTATTATCATTTACTAATTTATTTAACTTTTTTAATATTCTTTATAATAATAGTTGAATTAATTTGATCTGTCATTATTAAAACACGAAAATGAATTATACAAACAATTCATTTTTAACAAGTTCATCTGTTTATAACTTTGATTAACAATAATCTCAACACAAATAATTTATCATAAACTTGGTAAGGTGATAATTTTTTAATATTTTTAAGAGTCATTTGTTATTTACATAATACTCATCACAACAATTCATTGGATTTTTTAAATTATCAAATATTTTTATTAGATATGTATACTTTAATTAATATAAATTCATTTATCATGTAGTATTAAAGAATGAGTTGATAAAAATAAAATTAATATGTTTTAATACCATTTAACAACATTACTTATAAACCTCACTTAATACACTTTAGATTAATTGTAGTTTCTAAATAACTACAAATTTTGTATACTATTTCAATTATTCAATTAAACACACCAATATTATTGAATTGTATATTTCCTTATTATTTATTTCATTAACTAATTAAAGAATTTATTGAAATTTTTTTACCCACACCAGTATATATTTTTAATGAAACATTCAACCAAATCTTCATATTATTTGTTATATTCTTTTAATTAAAAATATTCCAACATCAATTATTATTCTCTTTTTATATTTATGTTTATATTTATTAAATAATTTTAATATAATATGAATTTACCTATTGTATTTGTATGTTCTTGCTTATTTTAATCATTTGTTTAAAATCCATATCCCTTATCTTATCTATTTATTATAGTTTTGATTATTATTTAATGAACAACTCTTCTGTCTGTTAGAACTTATTCTATACAACTACTTTATACCTTTTTTTAGTCAAGTGTAATTCATTAAATTTAGAATATTTACAAAATAACCAACTTATTTCTTATTCATCGTTAAAAGAAATAAACAAAATATAATTAATTCGTTTTTAACGAACTTTATAAATAGAAAAACTATAAAATTCAATGTGGAGTTAATTTGATATGAAACATAAAATGACAAAAAATAAGTGAATAACAATGCCAAATCTATTTTTAAATTACACAAAATATTTTAACGGAGAATGATTCATCTCCCTGCTTTAGACTATAATTTTTTTGAGAATAAATAACTAATAAACCTAAAAAAAAACCAAAAATATTTAAAATATTTTCAAAGGTTGAATTATTAAATATATGTTCTATTTAAACCAAAGAAATTAATTATTTGAATAATAAAAAAAGAAAGCTCATTAACAACCCATGCACCATTTTATAAATAGATTATATAAAATTACCGCAATTCTTTGAGTTAACTGGCATTTATTGATTCGTTTTTATTCCGTATTTCTTTTCCCATTCAATAAAGAATTAAGTTATTTTTAATGTCCACTACTCATAACCTTCTATATCTTTCGCTTCTGATCTATTAGAATAGGTACAGTAGAAAACTCTGAGAATTTTGTCAATTTTCTAGTGGCGTTTACCCCATCAAAATTTCTTTTATTCGGTATAAAGGCCAACTTTAATTTAAGCAGATCTCTTGTTTTGAATATTAGAAACATGTCTTCTCGTTTAAGCTTCAAATTCTATAGTTCTAATTTCCTAAATGATCCTATTATTTCTGAAAACCATTCAACTTGTGTACATTCAGGGTGTCAAATCAAAAAAAGAAGAAATTCATTCAACACTGCAAAAGTAAATTCTATGTTTAGTAAGAGCCAACCCGAAGAAGTCTTAAGAAAACTATTATTCTCAGATAATCCTATGCTTTTATATTCTTATTGTGATAAAGTTTGTTATAATTCCTTAGTTAAATTAAGAAATTTATTCTAAATTACTTTAGGTCTTAAAGAATGGGAGTGATGAAAAAAGAGTAATTCCATTCCTTATTTTTTATTCTTCACGTGGTAAAATTACTCAATTATTATGTCAAGTTGGAAGACGTGAAATTAAAGAAGCTAAAGCAGGCACTCCTTTGTTTAGAGGAAATACTCCATTTATCAGATTCTATAGTTTCTATTTATTTTTTTATTGCAATGAGTATCTAACAAAAACTACTTCTGCTATAATTAAACAAATAGAAAATGGAGAACAACAAATGCCTGATTCTAATAATCAGGTGTATACAAAACAATTCGTCACTTCTTATTCAAGATTTATAACAGAGAGTATACCTTACATTCCATGTCATCAAAGAAAGGTAATCAAAAGTCTTCTTTCTTCACCATCAGTTATAAATGATACAACAAAAAAGAAACAAATATTTTCTACGTTAATGTTCCTTCGTTATCTTTTTGTCCCTTTCTTGAAACATCCATGTATTCTTAAATTACTTCAAAAATGTGTTTCAGAATGGATTAGAGAATGTGAGGATAAAGACAAAAAACAAGTAAATACAACAGATGTTTTTAATGAATTAAAATTGAGTTTAGATTATCTTTATGATAATGTAGTAAATTCTCCTGTTGGTTTTGAAGTTGGAATGAT